CACTAAGAATACAAGAAGCTACACTAAGAATACAAGAAGCTACACTAAGAATACAAGAAGCTACAGTAAGAATACAAGAAGCCACACTAAGAATACAAGAACTTTCACTAAGAATACAATAAGCTACACTAAGAATACAAGAACTTTCACTAAGAATACAATAAGCTACTCTAAGAATACAATAAGCTACACTAAGAATACAAGAAGCTACACTAAGAATACAAGAAGCTACAGTAAGAATACAAGAAGCCACACTAAGAATACAAGAACTTTCACTAAGAATACAATAAGCTACTCTAAGAATACAAGAAGCTACACTAAGAATACAAGAAGCTACAGTAAGAATACAAGAAGCCACACTAAGAATACAAGAACTTTCACTAAGAATACAATAAGCTACACTAAGAATACAAGAACTTTCACTAAGAATACAATAAGCTACACTAAGAATACAATAAGCTACACTAAGAATACAAGAAGCTACACTAAGAATACAAGAAGCTACACTAAGAATACAAGAAGCCACTCTAAGAATACAAGAAGCCACACTAAGAATACAAGAAGCTACACTAAGAATACAAGAAGCTACACTAAGAATACAAGAAGCTACAGTAAGAATACAAGAAGCCACACTAAGAATACAAGAACTTTCACTAAGAATACAATAAGCTACTCTAAGAATACAAGAAGCTACACTAAGAATACAAGAAGCTACAGTAAGAATACAAGAAGCCACACTAAGAATACAAGAACTTTCACTAAGAATACAATAAGCTACACTAAGAATACAAGAACTTTCACTAAGAATACAATAAGCTACACTAAGAATACAATAAGCTACACTAAGAATACAAGAAGCTACACTAAGAATACAAGAAGCTACACTAAGAATACAAGAAGCCACTCTAAGAATACAAGAAGCCACACTAAGAATACAAGAAGCTACACTAAGAATACAAGAAGCTACACTAAGAATACAAGAAGCTACACTAAGAATACAAGAAGCCACACTAAGAATACAAGAAGCTACACTAAGAATACAAGAAGCTACACTAAGAATACAAGAAGCTACACTAAGAATACAAGAAGCCACACTAAGAATACAAGAAGCTACTCTAAGAATACAAGAAGTTATTGGCAATGTTGTGCTTATGGGTTATAAGTAGACCAAACATGGAGACACAGATCTTCACAACTACAGTCACAACCTCGGGGACAGGAAGCCTGCACGTACACGTACGTAGGTCCTCCCTATAACCCCAGGGTACCAATTGACCAGCTAGGTGAACAGTGGCATTAGGTCAAAAGAAGCGAGCCCAATCGTTTCTGTATTACCCGGAGATTGAAATCTGGTCTCTTGGTTATGAGCCAAGCGCGTAGACTACTCTGCTACCAAGTCCTGTGTACATGTAGTAGATGAGACTGTAGAAGAGAAGCATCTACTAAAAAAAACTAACATCTACTTTCGTTTTGGTCTTGTCTACACCGGAAGGTAAGGAGGAGGAGAGGGAGAGAAGTAGAGGAGAGAGAATATACGAGAAAAGGGAGGGATGAGGGTGAGAGGAAAGAAGGAAAGGAAGGGGAATTAAGAGAGAGAGAGAGAGAGAGAGAGAGAGAGAAAGAGAAAGAGAGAGAGAGAAAGAGAAAGAGAGAGAGAGAGAGAGACAGATAGAGAAAGACAGAGACAGAGAGAGAGACAAAGACAGAGAGACAGACAGAGACAGAAAACCAGAAAATTGGAAGGTGGAAAACGGATTGAAAGAGGCTGGAGGAGAATCGGAGGAGAAGGAATAAGATATAAGGAACGAGTGAGGAAGAGAAAGGGTAAGTAGCTGCCGAGGAGATTAAGATCTAAATAACCTTCTACTCCAGTGGAGGTGTGTGGGGGGGAGGGGAGGGAGAAGGGTGGAGGGTGGATGAGAGACATTGAGGGAGAGGAGGGAGGGACGGGGGGGGGGAGGGAGAGGGAAGAAGGCTAATAAAGCAACAAGACAAACAGCTGCCTCCCCACAACAGTTGCCTAATCCACGGGTGCCTATTTCACTGAAAGGTGAACAGAAGCATCAGGTGTAACGTCCCTCGAGACAACCCCCACAATAATTGTCTAACTCCCGGGTCCCTATTTTACTGCTAGATGAACAGCGGCATCGAGTGGAAGGAAAATTGCCCAATTATTTCTGCTCTGCCCGGGGACTCAACCCGGGTTCACCGATTGCGAGTTGAGAACGTAGACTACTGTGCTACCTGCCCCACTAAATGCAGTAGCATCATAACAGGACGAATGAATAAGAAAAAGATTAAAAAAAAAAAATTATCATGAAGATAAAAATAATAGTAATTGTTAATTTATATAATAAAAAATTGTTAATTTATATAATAATAGTTAATTTATATAGTAAAATAATAGTTAATTTTAGACAATATAAACCAATCATACCATGAAGTTATACAAATTTGCATACCCTCAGCATTCTACATCAACAAATCGATAATGCAATAAAGCATAGTTAATCTTTATGATAAAAAATGAGTCAATAAAACAGTTATTAACCTTTATGATAAAAAAAATGAGACTAACAGGATTTATACACGTCAAGAGACCATTTTGAGAGACACAGGTTCGTTTTCTGATGTGCAGAGCGGCGCTCCTCCTTCCCTGTTTTCTGCCCCGGCGGCCGCGGGGGACACTGGTCTAAGTGGTATGATGTGATAACGCTGCCTCCGCTAATTGGTGTTTTGTTGAGCTCTAAATGGTGTTTTGAACGATCAAGTGTCTCGCGTAAAGGGGAAACTCAAGATTGTTGAGTGTGTGTGTGTGTGTAGGTGTTTGTGAGGCTGGTTGGCTCTCTCTCTCTCTCTCTCTCTCTCTCTCTCTCTCTCTCTCTCTCTCTCTCTCTCTCTCTCTCTCTCTCTCACCCTTGCCTCCAGTTACACATAATACTCCCGGACTTTATAGCTGGCCTTAAGGGATGCTGTCAGACGCAGTAAAGACACAAGAAATAGTTTTAGCTGCTGTAAAATTTAATGACAAAAAGGGGGGAGAGAGAGAGAGAGAGAGAGAGAGAGAGAGAGAGAGAGAGAGAGAGAGAGAGAGAGAGAGAGAGAGAGAGAGAGAAAGAGATAGAGAGAGAGAGAGAGAGAGAGAGAGAGAGAGAGAGAGAGAGAGAGAGAGAGAGAGAGAGAGAGAGAGAGAGAGAGAGAGAGAGAGAGAGAGAGAGAGAGAGAGAGAGAGAGAGAGAAAGAGAGAGAGAGTGTTGAGAGAGAGAGAGAGAGAGAGAGAGAGAGAGAGAGAGAGAGAGAGAGAGAGAGAGAGAGAGAGAGAGAGAGAGAGAGAGAGAGAGAGAGAGAGAATTTTCCATTATTTTTTGCTTCTAACTATTGAACTAGGGGGCATCTCTCAGGTGTTGTATCCCATGATAATTAGCTTCCTGGTTCATCTCCCGCCAGGCCAGTGTGATGCTGCGCTGGGGATGCAGTCGGGCGCCATCCCCGACGACCACATCTCCGCCTCCTCCTACTTTGACGCCGCCGTCAACGCCATCTATGGCAGGTGAGGACAACCTCCAATGTCAACATTGTATCTTGGAGAGTCGTGTGAGGCAGTTCATTTGCTTCAATTGCCTTGCTTCAAATTAAGTTTTGAGTCTTCAAAGAAGATCTTTTTTTCCATTTACATTTTCTTATCGATCAGGCTGTTTATATTGACACGTTTCCTGTAAATTAATCACGCTACTGAATTCGCTAAAGCAGTTGATAAACACAGTCAATTATAATGTTAAAAAAAAAGCTCTTGAGTAGTAATTGACCAATCACCGCCACTGTACTAGGGTTACTTGCCAATCACAGACAACATACCAGAGCTGTTGACCAATTAGCGTCAAGGTACCGAATCTTCTGGTCAATCAGCTGGAAGCTCAGACCAGGAAGGAATGTCTCAGGTAGCCTCGGGTACTGGTCCTATTTAATGTATAATGACCTCAATATATGCCCAGCTTCTAGGTGCATATACAGTGAAAGATTACTTTAATAATCTTAAGATTACTTTAATACTCTAAAGATTACTTTAATACTCTAAAGATTACTTTAATACTCTAAAGATTACTTTAATAAATTAAAGATTACTTTAATAATCTAAAGATTACTTTAATAATCTAAAGATTACTTTAATAATCTATATACAAATCTAATATATCTTCGCTGGTTAGTCAATAAGTCCTAGTGATGACCTTAACAACCCCCTTAGAGGCTAATTGCCCAATGGCCGTACGACAAACTGTATTTAAATTTGATACCGTGTTAGTGTAACATTTTCTGATCAAATCACGCCGCAGGTTCGAGCCCTCTGCCCTGCTCCAAAAGATTTGATCAAAAATATATCACGTTATTGTGATATTTTTCTGTTTGTTGTTGTTTAAGATTCGCTACTTGGAACAAAAAGTTCCAAGTAGCACGGGCTATGGCGAGCCCGCAGGGATATTTTGCTGTTTACTGATGTTTTTCTTGTTGGGTACAGGGCGCACGTGGAGGTGGGAGGAGGGGCGTGGTGCCCGAGGGAGATGGTGTACCAGGAGGGCCTCCAGTACCTGGAGGTTAACCTCGGCGGCGTCCACGTCGTCACCAAGGTGGAGGTCCAGGGCAGGTTTGGCAACGGTCAGGGCAGAGAGTTCGCCAAGCAGTACAAGCTCCAGCTCTGGCGGCCCGGCATGGCCCACTGGACCACTTACAGCGACGGTCGTGGGGAGGAGGTGAGTACTGGTGGCCCGGTGTGGTCCACTGGTGGCCCGGTGTGGTCCACTGGTGGTCCGGCATGGTCCACTGGTGGTCCGGCATGGTCCACTGGTGTTCCAACAAGGGCCAATTCATCAACACCAGCAATGATTTTCGTTAATTTAAAAATGTATCCCTTACACCAGTGGTTCCCCACTCCCCCACTCCCCCCAGTCATTAATACCACCAATACCCAAGGTTGTATACACAAGAGAGGTGTATACTGCTTCTCAGTGTGTATACTCTAGCAGTTTACAATAGTATACTGCCCAATAAACAAGTATAGTCTAGTCTTGGACTTTGTACAGAACTAAAGTGTATTTTAGGTCACTAAATTGGTCAATAGATCACTTAATAACCCTTCACAGTATTAAAGACCTCAAGCAAATGTCACTGTTGTTGTTGTTGTTGTTTAAGATTCGCTACTTGGAACAAAAAGTTCCAAGTAGCACGGGCTATGGTGAGCCCGTGATGTCACAGATGATATATCGTGATCCATAACGGTGTTACATAATTATAATTCATATAAACCATTATACAAAATAATTTAATACCAGGGCCTATAGGATTCATCAAATATATATACGAAACCTGTGCATCTTTCTTCAATCAATGCAGCTTTGTTGATGTTTATTGCAAACAATAAATGCACTACAGGGTTGTTTATAAGAAAATAACAACCTTGGGTTTTCAAGTTTCGATGCTCGTTAACTATTAAACCAGTGTAAACAAAGCCACTATGAATGAGGGAAAGATATATAGGTTTCGGAGGTGGGTTTGATGAAATGTTTGAGGAAACCTGGTCCCAGGAGATAGAGTCTGACTTCTAGAACTCTACACATGGAGTTTGTATTCCCAATTCCTAACATATCATTTGTGATGTTCTGTGCTCATGGTGTAGGTATTAGGCAAGGATCTAGCCTCGAATGGTCCATCTGCATGACAGGAATTAATAGGGACAGATGTCTGTGTTTTCAAACTCCACACTCACCTCTCCCCCTCTCTCCCACACTCACCTCTCCCCCTCTCTCCCACACTCACCTCTCCCTCTCTCTCCCACACTCACCCTCTCCCCCTCCCTCTCTCCCACACTCACCTCTCCCCCTCTCTCCCACACTCACCTCTCCCACTCTCCCACACTCACCTCTCCCCCTCCCCCTCTCTCCCACACTCACCTCTCCCCCTCTCTCCCACACTCACCTCTCCCCCTCTCTCCCACACTCACCTCTCCCCCTCCCTCTCTCCCACACTCACCTCTCCCCCTCTCTCCCACACTCACCTCTCCCACTCTCCCACACTCACCTCTCCCCCTCCCCCTCTCTCCCACACTCACCTCTCCCACTCTCCCACACTCACCTCTCCCACTCTCTCCCACACTCACCTCTCCCCCTCTCTCCCACACTCACCTCTCCCACTCTCCCACACTCACCTCTCCCACTCTCCCACAGCTACTGGAAGGGAACACGAACACGTACCTGGCCCAGACCTCACAGTTGAGTCCACCCATTATAGCGGCCAGGGTGAGGTTTGTGCCCTACAGCGACCACCCCCGTACAGTGTGCATGAGGGTGGAGGTCTACGGCTGCCGCTACACTGGTGAGTCCCACCGCTATATTGTAGCGTAGGTCTACGGCTGCCGCTACACTGGTGAGTCCCACCGCTATATTGTAGCGTAGGTCTACGGCTGCCGCTACACTGGTGAGTCCCGCCGCTATATTGTAGCGTAGGTCTACGGCTGCCGCTACACTGGTGAGTCCCACCGCTATATTGTAGCGTAGGTCTATAGCTGCCGCTACACTGGTGAGTCCCACCGCTATATTGTAGCGTAGGTCTATGGCTGCCGCTACACTGGTGAGTCCCACCGCTATATTGTAGCGTAGGTCTACGGCTGCCGCTACACTGGTGAGTCCCACCGCTACATTGTAGCGTAGGTCTACGGCTGCCGCTACACTGGTGAGTCCCGCCGCTATATTGTAGCGTAGGTCTACGGCTGCCGCTACACTGGTGAGTCCCACCGCTATATTGTAGCGTAGGTCTACGGCTGCCGCTACACTGGTGAGTCCCGCCGCTATATTGTAGCGTAGGTCTATAGCTGCCGCTACACTGGTGAGTCCCACCGCTATATTGTAGCGTAGGTCTACGGCTGCCGCTACACTGGTGAGTCCCACCGCTACATTGTAGCGTAGTGTTTCGGAGGGTTGGTAGTAAGATAAGCATGGTGGAGCTTCCTTGATGGTGTAGTATAGTAATTTAGCCGTCTGTGGCGACTGAACCCTTAAATAACTCAACGTCTCCATTATATTGCCATTTATCTTTGTTTTACCCCATTAGATGCAGCCTATTGACCCATTATATATTCAAGAGGTGAAGTTTATATGAAGACACTAACGACATAACTACCTTCCCTGGCCCCGCATTAATAACTGAATTACCTTCCCTGCTCTGCACTAATGACAGAATTATCTTCCCTGGCCACCAATAACGGCAGAACTACCTTCCCCGGCCCCTAATAACGACAGAACTACCCTCCCTGGCCCCTAATAACGACAGAACTACCTTCCCTGGCCACCAATAACGACAGAACTACCTTCCCTGGTCACCAATAACGACAGAACAACCCTCCCTGGCCACCAATAACGACAGAACTACCCCCTGGCTCCCACTAACGACAGAACTACCTTCCCTGGCCACCAATAACGACAGAACTACCTTCCCTGGCCACCAATAACGACAGAACTACCTTCCCTGGCCACCAATAACGACAGAACTACCTTCCCTGGCCACCAATAACGACAGAACAACCCTCCCTGGCCCCCACAAACGACAGAACTACTCTCCCTGGCTCCCAATAACGACAGAACAACCCTTCCTGGCCCCCACTAACGACAGAACTTCCCTCCCCGGCTCCAACTAACGACAGAACTACCTTCCCTGGCTCCCACTAACGACAGAACTACCCTCCCCGGCTCCCACTAACAACAGAACTACCCTCCCTGGTTCCCAATAACGACAGAACTACCCTCCCTGGCTCCCAATAACGACAGAACAACCCTCCCTGGCTCCCAATAACGACAGAACTACCCTCCCCGGCTCCCACTAACAACAGAACTACCCTCCCTGGTCCCCACTAACGACAGAACTACCCTCCCTGACCACCAATAACGACAGAACTACCCTCCCTGACCACCAATAACGACAGAACTACCCTCCCCGGCTCCCACTAACGACAGAACTACCCTCCCTGGCTCCCACTAACGACAGAACTACCCTCCCGGGCTCCCACTAACGACAGAACAACCTTCTCTCCTGCAGATGGACTGGTGTCGTACACGATGCCTGAGGGTGACCCCCGAGGGGGGGACAACAACCTCCGTGACCTGACCTACGACGGGTCACGTAAGGGCGGCTGGCTCTCTGGCGGCCTGGGTCAACTTACCGACGGGGAGACGGGTCACACTAACTTCCGGGTCGATGCCCTCGGCCGTGGCAGAGGTGAGTCTTACTCTTATCACTCTCGTGTAACTATCTAAGCTGGTTTTAGAAGTTATAGATCTTAGAGCAAATGGTTCACTTGGACCACAAGCTAGAGGAGTCAAAGGGAACTTTTTTAACTGGGAAGCAGGAGAAAAGGTCTAATCTATTAATCACACAGATAAATCACAATTGCGTGATGCATCAAATGAACAAATCCACAAGGGATTTGTGCTACCATGTCGTAGCTCAGTCGATTAAGACAGCGTCTGGGATGCTCTCGGACGCAGGTTCGAATCCTCGTCCGAGAGCCCTTGTGGATTTGTGCATTTTAGCCGATTCTTATTTAATATCAGATATATTCCCTTGGTTTTCGAGTTCAATCCACACTTAACGTAAATTCATCCCTCCCTTTTCAATTCACCGGGGATTAACCCTCAAGGATTTAATGGTTAATTGATTGATCCAACCAATAATTAATTAATTGTTATTGTTATATGGGTTGCTGGTGGAAATTGGAAGATCTTGAATTTGAAATTGGAAGATCTTGAGTTTGAAATTGGAAGATCTTGAGTTTGAAATTGGAAGATCTTGAGTTTGAAATTGGAAGATCTTGAGTTTAAAATTGGAAGATCTTGAATTTGAAATTGGAAGATCTTGAGTTTGAAATTGGAAGATCTTGAGTTTAAAATTGGAAGATCTTGAGTTTGAAATTGGAAGATCTTGAATTTGAAATTGGAAGATCTTGAATTTGAAATTGGAAGATCTTGAGTTTGAAATTGGAAGATCTTGAGTTTAAAATTGGAAGATCTTGAGTTTAAAATTGGAAGATCTTGAGTTTGCAAGGGGCCTGTACACAGTCCTCGTGTGTGTAGTATCTAAGGTTATCAAACGTCTAAGACCACAAGGAGTGGACTGAAGACTATAGCAGAACTCTGGGTTTTAAGTATTCGTTATTAACGACCAACTTTTAACTGGATAAAGTGAGGTTTAAGACCGGTCCCCTCGGCCGAGGTAGGGGTGAGTGAAGGTCTTACTTACCCTCTTACTTACCCTTACCCTTACCTTACTTACCGAGGTTGTAATACAGTGCCTTAAATTTTGCTATGATTACAAAGTTACAAATTTCCAGTTACCTTTATTTAACTGATCTCCCCCCCCCACCCATTACACCTTATTCCTCACGTTCTACTCTAGGTGAGTACTAGGTGAGGTACACTACCCTCACCTTATAAAGCACAGGTATAAGGGGCCCTTATACACGGGAGACATCTCCCGTCACGCAGGGTGCAGTCGCACCTCCACAGATCTCCAGTATCATCTATTGATACTGGAAATGGCTCAAAAGGGCCACCACTTATGGGCTATTCATGCCCAAGCCACCTTTTGGGTGGCTTAATCTTCTCTCTCTCTCTCTCTCTCTCTCTCTCGGCCCTTATAAACGGGAGACATCTCCCGTCACGCAGGGTGCAGTTGCACCTCCACAGATCTCCAGTATCAGCTCTTGATACTGGTAATGGTTCAAAAGGGCCACCACTTACGGGTTATTCATGCCCGTGCCACCTCTTGGGTGGTTTAATCTTTATCAATCATTAATCGCCCTTATAACACATGAGAACAAGGGGAGGAGGACACATTCATTCTCTTGGTCCTTGGAGACACATGTATCGTCTCACAGCCTCAATCATCCCAAAAATGTATCGGTGATTCGGGGAGGATGAATTGATAGTTGGATTAGGCATTGAAACAAAGGAGGAATGATATAGCCTGGTGGATTAGGCACCATATTTGGTGGATTAGGCATCATATTTGGTGGATTAGGCACCATATTTGGTGGATTAGGCACCATATTTGGTGGATTTGGCACCATATTTGGTGGATTAGGCACCATATTTGGTGGATTAGGCATCATATTTGGTGGATTAGGCACCATATTTGGTGGATTAGGCACCATATTTGGTGGATTTGGCACCATAATTGGTGGATTAGGCACCATATTTGGTGGATTTGGCACCATATTTGGTGGATTTGGCACCATATTTAGTGGATTAGCACCATATTTGCCACTCACTAACTCAGCCACTCACTATCTCAGCCACTCACTATATCAGTCACTCACTAACTCAGCCACTCACTAACTCAGCCACTCACTATATCAGTCACTAACTCAGCCACTCACTAACTCAGCCACTCACTAACTCAGCCACTCACTATATCAGTCACTCACTATACCAGCCATTCACTATATCAGTCATTCACTATATCAGTCATTCACTATATTAGTCACTATTTCAGCCACTCACTAACTCAGCCACTCACTATCTCAGCCACTCACTATCTCAGCCACTCACTATCTCGGCCACTCACTAACTCAGCCACTCACTATCTCAGGCACTCACTAACTCAGCCACTCACTATCTCAGCCACTCACTATCTCAGCCACTCACTATCTCAGCCACTCACTACCTCGGCCACTCACTAACTCAGTCACTCACTATCTCAGGCACTCACTAACTCAGCCACTCACTAACTCAGCCACTCACTATCTCAGCCACTCACTATCTCAGCCACTCACTATCTCAGCCACTCACTAACTCAACCACTCACTATCTCAGCCACTCACTATCTCAGCCACTCACTATCTCAGCCACTCACTATCTCAGCCACTCACTATCTCAGCCACTCACTAACTCAGCCACTCACTAACTCAGCCACTCACTATCTCAGCCACTCACTATCTCAGCCACTCACTATCTCAGCCACTCACTAACTCAGCCACTCACTAACTCAGCCACTCACTATCTCAGCCACTCACTATCTCAGCCACTCACTATCTCAGCCACTCACTATCTCGGCCTGTCACTCACAGCGAAACTCACTGACTGTCTTGAAAGTGTTGTGGAGAAAGTCTCTAAACAATCCGGACCTACAAGAAAGTGCTCTTGAAGACAAACACAAAGTTAGACAGACTCCTTCTTGCTATCTGGCCCTTTCCCGCCTTCTTGATATCTTGCTATCTTTCTTCGTCTTGGGTGAAATGGCAAAATGGAGGCATAAGATATAACATATCCCCCGAATAACAGATCGTAAATCAGGGAAAATGATGTGAAACAGATCGTAAAAAACGGAAAATGATGTGAAACAGATTGTAAATAAGGGAAAATGATGTCAAACAGATCGTAAATAACGGAAAATGATGTCAAACAGATTGTAAATAAGGGAAAATGATGTCAAACAGATCGTAAAAAACGGAAAATGATGTCAAACAGATTGTAAATAAGGGAAAATGATGTCAAACAGATTGTAAATAAGGGAAAATGATGCCAAACAGATTGTAAATAACGGAAAATGATGCCAAACCGATTATAAATAACGAGAAGTGATGTCAAACAACCTCAGTTAACTGTGGGAACAGCAACAATGGTTGATGTCACAGAAACTATTAACAGTCTAAGCGAAGGAGAAGGAAATTTGAAAGAAAAAAAAAACACAGCCAAATGGAGGCACTGAAAGAGAGAGAGACAGATAAAAACACTGAAAAAGAGAGAGAGACAGATAAAAACACTGAAAAAGAGAGAGAGACAGACAAAAACACTGAAAGAGAGAGAGAGACAGACAAAAACAGAATTGTCTATAATGGACAATATATATACAAATGAACTAATCCACAAGAGCCGTGACGAGGATTCGAACCTACGTCCGAGAGCATCCCAGACGCTGCCTTAATCTAGCATTTGATTATCATTTGATACCTCACGCTATTGTGATTTCTGTGTGTAATATTTCCTCTCTATCCCCCAATCCTCTCTATTTTCCCCTATCCTCTCTATCCCCTATCCTCTCTATCTCCCTATCCTCTCTATCTCCCTATCCTCTCTATCCCCTATCCTCTCTATCCCCTATCCTCTCTATCCCCTATCCTCTCTATCCCCCATCCTCTCTATCCCCTATCCTCTCTATCCCCCTATCCTCTCTATCCCCTATCCTCTCTATCCCCCTATCCTCTCTATCCCCTATCCTCTCTATCCCCCATCCTCTCTATCCCCTATCCTCTCTATCCCCCATCCTCTCTATCCCCTATCCTCCCTATCCTCTCTATCCCCCTATCCTCTCTATCCCCTATCCTCTCTATCCCCCTATCCTCTCTATCCCCTATCCTCTCTATCCCCCATCCTCTCTATCCCCTATCCTCTCTATCCCCCTATCCTCTCTATCCCCCTATCCTCTCTATCCCCTATCCTCCCTATCCTCTCTATCCCCCTATCCTCTCTATCCCCCTATCCTCTCTATCCCATTATCCTCTATCCTCTCCAATAAACAAGTTGTAATATTGCGTATAATAAAAACAACGGCTAAACTATAATGTATAAATCACAACGGCTCACAAAATTAACAGACGGTCCCGTTTTCTGTTCGTGGTCCTCGGTTAAGTTCGAGTAATTTAGTACATCATTTTTGTGACGTTGTGAGAGCTGGCGAGAGGAGAGGCTGGTGTCCCACAAGGCAGGGTCCTCAGCCCCGACAAAGTAGACATATCTTGAGGTTATCTTGAGATGATTTCGGGGCTTTAGTGTCCCCGCGGCCCGGTCCTCGACCAGGCCTCCACCCCCAGGAAGCAGCCCGTGACAGCTGAGTAACACCCAGGTACCTATTTTACTGCTAGGTAACAGGGGCATAGGGTGAAAGAAACTCTGCCCATTGTTTCTCGCCGGCGCCTGGGATCGAACCCAGGATCACAAGTCCAGCGTGCTGTCCGCTCGGCCGACCGGCTCCCCATTGGACATAGAACATTGGACATAGAACATTGGACATAGAACATTGGACATAGGTTCTTGGACATGGAACCATAACCCTCACTTCTTGTCATCATTTGCAGATTGTACTGCAATAATTATGTACATTACAACGATGGAAGACACTGAATAAATACAAATCGATATCAACCCAATCAAAAATGCAAATAGATATCAACCCAATCAAAAATGCAAATAGATATCAACCCAATCAAAAATGCAAATAGA